GACTTTTCCAGCGCTCTGTTCACTAGCTGTTCCATGAATCTGAGACCTTGGGAGATCACTTTTTCTGTGCACTTTTGAAGGTCACCAAGTAGGTTCCTCCTTTGTGTTCCTCTATTCACACGCCCTATATACAACATCCAGGAAGTCAAGGATGGGGAAGTAGGAGATGGAGGGAGAAGGGAAGGAGAGCAAGAGGAAGAAAAAGAGAAGATGAAACAAAATGCTTCTATTGAAGTAATCAGATGACTAACATATTCAAACAGTCGGAAAAGGTTCTTTATGAGAACCAGAAAGAAAATACACAAAGAATTGAAGACATATTTTGGGAAATTTTGAGTTGAGCAACCTTGTGATTTCAACCCCAGAAACTTAATGGAAAAGTTAAATTTATGTGATCTTGTAGAAGTTATCTTTTACATCTTATCATCTCATTCCTACTTTGGACAAACTGGTAGGCTACCGAATGTAACCTGCCCACATGACAGAGTCTGGCAAACTCCCCGTGGCGTACCCAATATGCCAAATACCAGTAACAACGAAGGGTCTCATTCTCCTAACTCTGAAAGAGCCTTAAATATGGCACTTTTTAAAAAAATCTCAGGGCTAGGACAAAGGACACGTTACTGGGGCCTGCTCGAGGCAACCGACGAATAACAGGATGGTTGTGATTGTGACTTGTAGAAGTTAAATATTGTAACGAATGCCCATAAGCCAATGCAGAGACAGCTAGAGATACTCAGACACTGTTTTCAGTTTTTCAGCATAAAAGAGAACCTTCTGCAGTAAAACCTACTATCCCACCTATCAGCAGAAGCCCTGATAAAGCAGGGCTCTAAGTGGGTGAGAGATCTGAGCTTCCCTCTCTATGAGATGTCTCTATAAATATTAGAAGTCACACAAGCCTTCTGATGAAGGTATGTAAGGGGAAAGGAGAGATTCAATAACACAAAGGATAGTATCTGCATAAACTGTAGATGAGAGCAACACACACACACACACACACACTCACGCATATTCACACACCACAAGTTTAGTTCTGTTTCTGTCTTCCAGCCAAGATGAGTGTGTAGGTCTTAGCAATGTGATTTCCTCTCCTCTCCCAGGCAGCCTCTGGATTCAGAGCACACAGATCTGAACCCCATCACCCCAGAAACTCCAGAAAGGGGTAGACTGAGGGTATGGAGGGCCCGTCATCTTCCTGCTCCCATTTTCCTCATGGAACCCTGGGGAATTCACTCCCCTCATGGGGCTTCAGTTTACAAAAGGACCTAGCACTGAGCAGGCACCCAGACCCGTGGGTGACACCAAACCCGAGTCCTTGGGTTTCATGCACAAGCTGTTACCTGAATCTTGATAGTAATCCTTTGTCCCCTGAAGGTGGGCAACAGGGCCCTGAGGACTGGAGTGCCAGATACAGGGTGGAGATCCCCCCACTCTCCTCCTCCTCCTCTGCTGCCTCCATATTCCCATGGGAATAGCCCCACACACCCTCATCTCACCCCCTCCCCACGGCCACATTCAATTGCCTCTCGAGGTCACTGTGTCTCAAGGAAACAGTTCAATGAAGGGTATGGGTCGTTTTTGTGATCCCACCTGAGCAGTCCCCTCCCTCTTAGTTCAGGGAACAGGAGGAGGGAGCAGCAGTTGGGCCATGGGTTCAAATCTGGGCTCTGCTTCTGATTCCTGTGTGGCCTCGTGCCTTTTACCTAACTCCCCAGAACTTGGTTCTCCTTGTCCATAGTCACCACTGTCCTTAGATCGAGGTTGTGAGAAGATGAGGGCGAGGGAAAGGAGGTGGGGTCCTCTCTCCCCTGCTTACCCAGGAGTCCTCTTCTGGCTGTTGGGATTAGGATCCAGGATCTTCCAGTACAGCTCAGCTCCTTACTCCGTGGTTAAATATGAATGTGCACAGCTCCCAGGAATTGAATCAGAAACTAAAACTCACTACTCTCGAGCCTGTGAAGATAAATCGACCACACCGGGTCCAATGTCCAGATCACAGCACCTCAGTCTCTCTTCCTTTCTCGCCCTGTTAGAAAAGTATTTTCAGATCTCACATCTCAGATTATTTTTTAATGTAGCAGAACTGCTATTTATTCAGCCATTGATTAAGCTGATTGAATTGGGCATGAACTCCACATTACTTTTTTAAAATTCAGAATGTTAATTTAATTTTATTATTTTAATTATTATTATTTTTTTTGACGAATCAATAGCATAGCGGATAGGGAGTTTGCCTTGCACGTGGCTGACTGGGTTCTATTCCTCCATCCCTCGTGAAGAGCCTGGTAAACTACCGAGAGTATTCCACCCACACGACAGAGCCTGGCAAGCTACCCTTGGCATATTCGATATGCCAAAAATAGTAATAAGTCTCACAATGGAGATGTTATGGGTGTCTGCTCAAGCAGATCAATGAACAAAGGGACGACAGTGCTACAGTTCTATTATTATTTTTAATCACTGTGAGATACAGTTACAAAGTTCTGCTGTTTGAATTTCAATTATACAATGATCGATCACCCAACCCTCCACCAGTGCACTTCAACCACCAATGTCCCCAGTACCCCCCATCTCACTCCCCAACTGTCTCTATGGCAGACGATTTCCCCCATGCTCTCTTTTGTATTGCTTGGTATGAATAGCACAAGATGTCATGGCCACACAATCCAGGAATTCTAAAATTTTAGATAATTAGGGTCTGGAGAAATCTCTGCAGTGAGCTGGTCGGTTCAGAGATTCTTTTGTGTGTCTCTGGATCATGGCCATTAAGGAGCTTAAGTAGCAGCTGCAGGCAGTTTGTGGGTGTGACCTCCATGGGAATGGGGAATGAGAAGGACCGACTCACCTCCTATCCCTTGAAGCCTAAAGTTTGCTGTCACTGAACCCATGTACCTACACTTCTCACTGGGTTTAGGAAGTTGGCAGTGCCGAGGTTTTTAAGGGGCAGGTGAAGGAATGATGCCTACCCCCATCTGAGGCATCCTGGTGAGGTTGGCCTGTCTTAAAGTTTGGAGGCATCTGTGCAGCAAGCTGCTTGGTTTGGAGATTCTTTTGTGTGTCTCTGGATCATGGACCTTGAAATGTTTTCCAGAGAAATAAACGATTGGCATATGCCCTGTAGGATGCTTCCACTTGCCTGCAATGAGCTGTGTCACTGGCCCTAACTGCGACTTTCTATCTCTTTCAAGATTTATGGGTCTCTGAAATAAGGCCAGTAAATGAGCTTGTATAGCTAAACCGGAGGTGGTTTGTGGGTGTAACTCCCACATATCTAACTTTTGGCCATTCAATTTCTTGGTAAAGTTAGCCCCAAGTTTTTGGGGTCCAGCAAAAGTCACAGCAGCAATTTTGGGGTATCAGGAAGTTTGATGGCACCATCAGGCTTCGATGCACTCACCCCACAGGTACAGGTTGACCTGCTGGCAGAACCATACCCCCACGTTTCAGATTTCTTTGCTCAGTCCACCACCTGTGAACCAGGAAGGGGTCGAAATTTACGGCAATATAGCCAATCGGATTGACACTTTAACATCCATTTAGCTTTTGTCTATGTCAGAGAATGAGATAAATACACAAGAAGACAAATACGCAAGGACTGAGCTACAGACACTAAGGCAGGGGGAGAAGTTAAAGACTTTGGTCATCCTGGATTCCACATCAATAGGATGTCATGGCTTCATGGTGTAGAGATCAAGATGATAGATGCTGAGAGGAGAAGAGAACAGTTTTCTAAGAAACAAAACAGCACTTCCAGGGGCACCCAGAATTGACAGCATTTATATGGCCGAAGAAGCAACTCAACTCCAACCCACAAAAGACTTCTACTGAAGACTTCACTGAAAACTCCAGGCAGACCAAATTCACAACTTAAATCAAGTCTTCAGGAATCAGTCTTTCTGGATGCTTGTTGTATTTTGGTCCTGACACCCAGGATTCACCCAACACTTGAGGCTATGGACACCCATTCATGAAGTTCGAGAACCAGAGAATATCCATGGGTCTCCTCTACCTGGGAGGAGAGGTGTCCTTATTCAGGACCAACATTGTTTTTATGGGTAACAGTTGGGTTCTGAATGGAAGGTCAGAATGTCAGAAAGATTATATCGTGAGATGCTGGATTTTTATAAATCTGCTGTGACTGGTCATCTTGGTGTCCCTGATAAGGATGACCCAAGACCCACAGAACAAGAGGCACAGACAGAGTCGGATGATGTAGCAGCCGTGGGGCGGGGCAGGGAAGGGGAGAATGAAGCTTCTGGTGGAAATGTGCATTAGGTACTTTTAAAAAAATTGTTTTTATTTCATATACATTTTCACTCAAACCATGAGCTACCATTGACCCACTGGAGACATTACATTTTTAGCAACTATAAAATTAGACACTACTGACCCCAATATCACAAGAGTCACCCAGAATGACCATCTACGGTCAGGATCTTGTTCCAGTCTATGTTTATCTGCATATCAGCCACTATGAAGGCCTTGGCAGTTTTGTGGGGAGTGATCTGGGGATACTGAGATGGGGCCCGGCAGCTGCCACAGCGCCACCTAGAGGCGCCTGGTAGAATCAGCACCCAGAGGATGGCGCACCTCAGTCCTTTACTTCCACCCACCACCCTGCTCCCTGCACTCCTCTGAGGGAATCCGACCCTACTGCAGCTTCACATAGAGCTGTTGGAGTCCCACCAACGCATTTTCCAGCTCCTGAGCCTGCAGTCTCAGCGCCTCACCAGACTGTGATTTCCCCCCTTCATACAAATCCTTTGAGTCTTGCACTAGACTGTATACATCTGCCAGAATTGTTAGGCCAGTGGCGACCCCACCAATGATACGGGCTCCCTTGGACATTATCCTAGCATTGCCTACAAACACTTTGCCCAACAGACTACTTTGAGATGTTGCCTTGTGGCCAAGTTTAATGGCACGAACATGCTTTGCTATGTTTCTCACAACCCTAAAACTGTTTACTAAAGAAGAGATTCTTTTTTTGATATCACCTAAAATTTCCCAGAGCAGACGTAAATTGTCTTCAGTCGATTCCAATTTCTTGACCTCAGCTTCTATGGATGACATATAACTGTGCTCCACGATGCTGGTGGCCACAGCTGTGACAGTAGCTGCTGAACCTGTCACCAAACCAGCTCCTGACACTGCTAAACTGAGCCCTCCTGTAAATGGGGCCAGACCTATGCCCGCAATACACAAGATGCCGGATACGATGCCAGTGGAGTCTGCCACCACATTAGCAATGGTACAGTTCTTGTGGACCTCGTCAGCCTTTTCTGCAAGTGCATGGAGCTGTTTTATGGACTCTTCAGCTTCCTTTTTGGCCCGAGAATATAACTTCAAAAACTTCTCCCTGAACTCCTTCTCTCGTTGGCCCATCTTTTTGATTTCTGCGACCGTGAGTTTTCCATGTTTCTTTAGACCTTCACGAACTGCCTTTGCCTCATCTCTATAACAAAGAAGGCAGATATTGACAGTCAGTTAGATTATCCGCAAGTGGGCTGGACAATGTGTATCTGGGATAATCCTCAGCATTTTCACTAACATTCAAATGAAAGGAGCAATGAATTTTTTCCTTAAAATTAAGTATGTGTTATACATTTTAGATGATACCCAGTACTTATTCATTGGGGTATAAATATGTGAATATCATTTAAGGTACTCTTAAATCATAGGTCTTTATTAAACAATGAACACTCTCAAGGACAAGTTAACACCTTCAACACATCAGTGTTTGTATCTACCCTCTAAAATAAGAAGAGGGATGGACGTGGAAATGCCTTGGCTCAGAGCATTTAGTGTGGAGTGACAGTAAAATGGCTCATTCAGGTCTGAACATTTCCATAGACTCTGGGAAATAATTTCCTGACACCTTGATTGTCCTATTTGATAGATGGATCTTCAGTTACATGGATATCGGGCTAGTAGATGGTCTAACAATGTGATGTTATGATGGGGCTTTGGGCCATGTCATATCAGCTCTGACCTGCGTAGAGTCCGAAAGCTACAGGTCATAATGTGGGTAGTATGCGTCTGACCTGAATTTAATTTTACACAGTGATTGGGTAGAAAATGACTACGTTCTTGAGCAAGGCTTAGTCAGGTTATGTGAAGCTCTCATCTGGACTGGAACTTGACCGTGGCTTTCCAGGTCCTCCTTGCCAATCAGTAAAAGCCTACCTAAAAAGAACCTAGTGAGTTGGATTAGCGAGATAATACCCCCTACTTGTCCCATCACCACATATGGTATTAAACCACCCTCATTTAAAAAAATTTTATTAGTGAAATACCATGAGGTACAGTTGTAGACTTACAAATTTTTGTGCTTGGGTTTCAGTTATACAATGATCGAGTAACCATCCCTCCACCAGTGCCCATTCTCCACCACCACTAACCCCAGTATCCCTCCCACCCCCATCCAACCCTGCCTCTGTGGCAGGGCATTCCCTTTTGTTCTCTCTCTCCTTTTGGGTGCTGTGGCTTGCAAAAGAGGAATTGAGTGGCAATCATGTTCTGTCTATAGTCTACTTTCAGCATGCATCTCCCATCCTGGGTGGATCTTTCCAACACCCTTTATTTGGTGCTCCCTTCTCTATATGATCTGCCTTTACCCCTAGCATGTGCTTCTGGCCTCCAAGCCATGGAGTGAACCTCCTGATACTTATCTCGGCTATTCTTGGGTGTTAGTCTCCTATTTTGTTACTTTATGTTCCCCAGCCACTGGAGCGATAGCACAGCGGTAGGGCGTTTGCCTTGCACGCAGCCAACATGGCCGACCCGAGTTCGCTTCCTCTGCCCCTCTCGGAGAGCCCAGCAAGCTACCGAGAGTATCTCGCCCGCACGGCAGAGCCTGGCAAGCTCCCCGTGACGTATTCGATATGCCAGACACAGTAACAACAAAGTCTCCAATGGAGACGTTACTGGGCCCGCTCGAACAAATCGGTGATCAATGGGAGGGCCTTTACTTACTTTACTTTATGTTCCCCAGATGAATGCAATCTTTCTATGTCAATCCCTCACTTTCTGACTCATTTTGCTTAGCATGGTACTTTCCATGTAGTACCACTTGTGTGGAAATTTTATGACTTCATCTTTTCTAACAGCTACATAGTACTCAATTGTGTAGATGTACCAAAGTTTCTTTAACCAGTCATCTGTTCTCGGGCACTCAAGTTTTTTCCAGATTCCAGATATTGTAAAGAGTGTTGTAATGAACAAACAAGTGCAGATGTCATTTCGACTATACTTTTTTGCCTCTCTGGGATATATTCCCAGGAGTGGTATTGCTAGGTTAAACCACCCTCATTTCTTATGTATTCGTTCTTGACTTGGCTTTAACCAAAGTTCTCTTAGATCAGTTTTGCAAGAATGCCCCCTATTCTTGGTGTATCTGGATATTCCTGGCACCCAGTTCACTCTCCTTCTTCACTAAAATTCCTACTTGCATTTGATGTATTTTCTCCATCTCCTCTATGGCAGTGATTCAAACACCTATAAAACTGCTCATGAATATGGTCATCTCAAAGTTCTTAACAAGAGTCAGAATTGGTTTCTCCCCAACAGGGTGAGATTCCTGGTTAGCAACATCCAAATGGGAGGTGATATTGAGTGCAGGACAATGACATTTCCTGAGGATAAACAATGTCAAATTTGAGACCTTCCCAGACATTGCCCTTCCCCTTACCTCTATTAACTGCCATCATTTCTCTCTAATAAACTGTAACTTTATTGCCCATCAATAAAGTGATGGTGAGCCCATCAGCCTTATTAACTCTGTGAGACAACCTTGTGAACTTTCCATCTTTTTAATTGAGTTTTGGAAGACCCCACCCCAAATTTGTTGATGGTGTCAAATGTAAAGTTGTTTGGTGGATATGGCTTCACACTGGGCAGCGTGGCTAATTCTTGAATTGAGAAAAAACTCATTAACAATAGAAGGAAACTTTAACTGTGTTTCCCACTTACACATACAATCCTGGTAATATAAACTTCAAGATATCAGCCAAAATTACAACTACCGATTCAGATGCCTAGCAAGAAGCATCTTCTACTAAGCTTGGTTCACTTAGGCTATAGAGTGACCCTCAATGACTTCTTTCCTACTGGCCTCTCAAGTGTTACAAGTCAAATTTTAGCTTTTCAGGAAGAGCTGCTAGTATGTACCTATCAGTTCATGTGAAATGTTACAGAACCTCAAAAATATCTCAGAGATGAAGTTGAGAGTCTTCTCTTGTTACAAAAAGATAATGCTAGAAAAATCTGCGTTTGGCTTGCTTCTGGAGAGAAACTTTCTTCAACTGGACTTGGGGGTCTCCTCTGCATCTTTCAATCATACACACAAAAATGCAGCTACTTTGCAAGTAACTGTGATATTATTAGTGGTCAGTTACAACACTGACCCCAGACACAGGTCAGGGGCTTCCTATGTAGAATAGAAGGGTGTCCTGTATGGGGGTGAAAAACCCTTATCTCTAGGTAGCTGTGGATAAAATGATCGCCTAAACCCAGTCATCCACCGCAGACTTATGGTGTCCAATTTGGAAGGGAAGAATTCTGGGCAGGATGATAGTGGTAGTTGTCCATTGAACCCCACTGTTTACTCCAATTCCTTCCATCATGGCAGAAGAATACTCTCATTGGAAATGTGAGAAATCTGGGAATACCAAGCATAGATTTAAAGCCCTCATGCTGGGTACAGAGAGAGTCAGGATCTAGCCCACTGTGCGGAAACATCTTATGACTTCTCTGTCCCATGGGCTGAAATGTCCATGTAGCAATTGAATTGTCCCCTTAATTGGAGAGAAAGGACTCACAGAATGCCCTGGGCTGCCAAAATGTTCTTCCTTCTCCCTAAAGGAAATGTTTACTTTCATCTCTATGAAAAGGACTCTCAGCCCTGTTTCTTCCCGGTCTGGTTTCCAGATGGTGATATTAGTTGATTCTCGTTGTGTGTCAGTACTATGCTAAGTACTTGTATGTATTGCCACATTTGCTTGAAAGAAAGTGAACCGAGATATGACACTGAAGCAAATCCCTTGTGCATGCTCACATAACCCCTTCCCATGCACTCCTCTCAACTCAGATTGTCACTGCCATTTGGATGCATAGCCATCACATATTTTGAGTGAGCAACCCCTCCCAAGAGGGGTGGACTAGCAAGGAAGAAAGGAGCCCAGATTACAGAATGAGTGATATCCTACTTAGCCCTTCCTTCCTCTTGCTTACCTGGTTAACTCAGCATCGGCCACAAATTGCTCCCACTCTTCATCTTTACTAAACAGAAGATGGAGGTCCTCCTTGTTCACTTCATTCAGGAGAGAGTTGATGGTGTCCTCAATAATGCGCTCTAGATGGAAGAAGAAAGAAAAAGATGAGAACACTGGGGAGCAGTTTCCCTGGCATTGAGTCCACGGTGCTTCCATGTGCTTCTCGCTGAGCACTGTCCCCTGAGACACTGTGGAAGGAATCTCCTGGTTCATGGAATTAGAATGTCTCCCCTTCCACTTGTTAGGCCTTGGCCCCTTCTTTTGGATATATTTGATGATGAGGTACTTAGAGTGGTAAGAAGTGCTAAATGAGTCATAAGATTGAGATCTTCGATCTCTAACACTGGAGTTCTAAGAAATGAAGGGGTCTCTGAGTATCTCCCCACCTTCTCTCCACAGAAAACAGGCTAATAATGGAGTACAGAGTGGAAAGGCGGCAGCTTGCTCACTAAGAAAAGAGGTCTCCCTAGAATCCAACCCTGCCAGCACCTCAATCTTCTATTTCCTGTCCCCAGAATTCATGAAGTCATCTCTGCCTCTCTGTGTGTTTAGGAATAGTCTGTCATGCTTTTCATGGAGCCTGCAGGCACTTTGGTGCAGAAGGTCTGGCAGCACCCTGGACACAAGTGCTCCCATGTTTCCAGGCTGTTTTCAGTCAATGGAATGAATGTGGCGAATGGGGACATGTACAAACAGGTACAAACATACATACATACAAACATGTGTGTATATATCTGTGTGTCTGTGTGAGTGTCTTTGTGTGTATGGGCGTGTGATAGGGGGTTTATTTGTGTGTGAAAATGAAAGAGTGGGGAAGAGAGAGAGAGAGAGAGAGAGAGAGAGAGAGAGAGAGAGAGAACATGTTGAGACAATGTAGGTATGTTTCCAGCTCCATTCAGGTAAGCAGATATTCTCTTTTCACAGGATGAGTGATCATACAGTCGGCAAGAAGAAAGCTCAGGACTTAAATCTGAGCCAAATTTCAGGTATCTCTGTGACTTTGTATTGAATACTCCTTAGGTTTCAAAAATTCTCCCCAATTCCTACCTTAAACTCTATAGCATATGTCCAGAGATTTAAAGATATGGTTATATTAAAAATTGATGGTGCCACCAATGCACTATGAATAAAACTGCAGTATCAGGCAGAAGGTATCTTTTTGTTCATCCTAGACTCTCTTATATGGGCAGTGGAAGGTGAGTATTCAAATAGGTGCCACTCAGGCCTAACCCTTGGGATCAGCCCTCATCCCCACTTCCTGGTGTCTCACAGAGGCTCTCCCCAGTCCAGCAGCCCCATCGACTGAACAAGAGATCCTCCTGTTTCTGGAGGAGGTTGTGTCCTAGGAATCTTCAGTCGTAGACTCCTGCTGGGACCCAGGGATGCTCTGTCTCTTGTTTCTGATCCAACCTCCCTCCCCTCCTCTGTGATTGCACAGTGGGAGCACCATCTGCTTCCTGGGAGTTCCTGGAGGATTGGATTTTATGTAGAGTGAAAGGGGGGAAAGACAGTGTGTGAGAGAGAATGCTTCAGGAAATAAAATAAATTTTGGTGGCAGTGCAGATTTGTATTTTTATGGTTTTTATGCTTCACTGAAGAAAAATAGAATACCAGGACTAGAATGAAGGGAACTCAAGGCCTTGTGTTTATGTATTTCTTCATGGAGAATCTCCTCTGGGGTCCTTGCCATGAATGGTCCCTCCCAGAGGTCATCATGTCTGGTGAGCAGGAGCCTATGATAGGGCTATTCAGGGCAGGTTCTCAAACACAGCTATGAGGGGATATGGGCTGAGACAGATTCTACCGGAAACAAGACGGGAAAGCATCAGCATTTAGGTACTGCCCCTGTGTAGGCACGGGTAGGAATACACAGTGATTCTCTGTTTAACACAGGGAAATTTTTTTCATTGTACAAATGGGTGCAGATAACATGGTCCTGTCACACAGTTCCAATATTTCAAAGACAAGATGGGCTCCTACTCTAGGCTTGATCATAACTACCTCCATTTCTATCATCTATGTAGTCTAGAGTGCTTCAGGCAGATAATTTAAGGAATTTTGAAAGCATGAGATGGACTTAAGTAATGTTAATGTAGCCTGGTTAGAATGGTCTTGTGGGGGAATGCTCGAGGCAAAAGGCTTGAAAGGCTAAAGAGACCACTTCAGAGTTGCTGATCAAGCCCCTTTCACCCTATCTCACCTCACCTAGTATAGAAACACTATTCCTTCTTCTCCCTCTGCTCTCTCTAAATATTCAGTAGCTGCCCTGGCTTCACTTGTGAGCCATTTAACAGTGGGAGTCAGGGAAGCTCTGAGTGAGCACCCCATCCATGGCTCCTGAGGACACACCAGGTGGAGATATTCTCACAGATCCAAATGGGTGAGTCATTTCCCCCTCTACAGTTTACTTGCTGTTCAAATCTCTTTTAATCTTTGATTCCTCAGGCGAATACCTTAAACTGAAGGTATCCCCTCATTGTGGGAATCTCAGGGAGGTCCCATTCAGAGAATAGGAAACTTAATACCTGAACTCATTATTATGCAGGATCTCACACTCAGCACTCTGTATCCAGTAGAGCGGTGTGGCTTCACCCTTGGGGAAAGAACAAAGTGTAGGGTTCAATGTAAGTAAATGATACTATATAGAGTAGTTACTACACTTGATCTTAACCAAAAGGCCGAGAAGCGATAGCACAGCGGGTAGGGCGTTCGCCTTACAAGCGGCCAACATGGCCGACCCGAGTTCGATTCCTCCGCCCCTCTCGGAGAGCCCGGCAAGCTACCGAGAGTATTCGATATGCCAGACACAGTAACAACAAAGTCTCCAATGGAGACGTTACTGGGCCCGCTCGAGCAAATCGACGATCAACGGGAGGGCCTTTATTTTTATAAAGTAGTTCACAATATTTGATTACATTTGATATTCGAACACCAATCCCACCACCATGACACTGTCCCACCATCATATTTTGGATGTTTCCATCCTGAACCCCAACCCCTGCCCCAAAACAGAACCGAAGTAATTTATTTTGTATTATTTGTTATGGGCTGGAGTGATAGCACAGCGGGTAGGGCGTTCGCCTTACAAGCGGCCAACATGGCCGACCCGAGTTCGATTCCTCCGCCCCTCTTGGAGAGCCCGGCAAGCTACTGAGAGTATCCGATATGCCAGACACAGTAACAACAAAGTCTCCAATGGAGACGTTACTGGGCCCGCTCGAGCAAATCGACGATCAACGGGAGGGCCTTTACCTTTACCTATAGAGTAGTTGGAATTTGGTCTGTACTTAACTGCAGCAGCATTACAAGTGCTAAAATACTGCCTTCTCAAACCCTCTGCCAAATCCCCCAATGAACCTCACAACATAGAGAAGGCTCTCTCTCAACGACTTTTGCTGAGATGTCCATAGTGCTCCTCATTGGGTAATAACTGACCCCACATCTCTGCATGGGCTCCACGCTGGTCTAGGTAGAGGGCACTGCCTGATGACAGGCATGGAATTGTCCTGTGAAAAGTTTTTGATGACACGATGACTGTTGATCCAGGGCTGGATATTCTCAGTTTTGTCCCTCTTGTTCACTAACTGTCCCACAAACCTCAGGTCATGGCTCGTCACTTTCTCAGTGCACCTTTGAAGGGCCCAAATCAGGCTCTTCCTTTCTGACTTTGGTGGGTTCCTATTCACATATCTTATACATAGAGGAAATCAAGGATTGGGAATCAGGTGATGAAGGAAGAAGGGAAGGAAAGCAATAAGAATAAAAAGAGTAGATGAACAAAACGGTTCTAATGAAACAATCAGACAACTAACACACTGTTCAAGAAGTCACAAAAGAAGGACTGGAGAGATAGCACAGCAGGTAGGGCATTTTCCTTGCACGCAGTCGACCTGGGTTCCATTCCCAGCATCCTATATGGTCCCCTGAGCACTACCAGGAGTAATTCCTCAGTGCAGAACCAGAAGCAACCCCTGTGCATCGCCAGCTGTGACCCCAAAGGCAAAAAAAAAGGAAGTCACGAATCTCAATCATCATGAGAACTTGGAAGAAAATCCATGAAGAACTGAAGCTATATTAAAGAAAATTTTGAGTTGAGGAACCTTGGACTATACTCCCAGAAAAGTAAAAGAAAAGCCAAATTTATGGAAACTCTTAACAATTAAAGCTTACAAAGAATGCCCATACACCAAGGCAATATAAGTAGACATCCTCGGACACAGTTTGAGAGCTACACATGCACACACTCACGCATGCCCAGTTGAGTTCTCTTTCAGGCTTCCCAGCCACAATGAGTGTGGGGGAGACAGCAATGTGGCTTCTTCTTCTTCTGTCTCAGGCAGTTTCTGGATTGAAGGAACACAGTTCTGAGCCCAATCACCCCAAAAATTCAAGAGAGGAAAGGGCTGGGGCCCCTGGAAGGCCTGGCATCGTCCTACTCCCTTTTTCTCAAGGGATCCTCAGAATGTCACTCCCCTCCTGGTGCCTATTGTACCCAGATACTCCCCATTGGGCAGACGCCCAACTCAGGTGGGTGACAACAAACATGAGTCCTGGGTTTCAGTGGCATACTGTTTTCTGAATCTTGACAGAAATCCTTTGTTCCCTCAGTTTAGGCAACAGGGCCTTGGGATCCAGAAGGCCAACGCACAGGAGAGAGACTCACCCGCTATCCTTCTCCTTCTCCTCTGCAGCCTCCATATTCTCAAGAGTGCCCCACCCCCCGCAATTCACTTGCCTTCTCCGATCACTGCGTCTCAGGGACACAATAAGGGGTAGCGAGTTGTCCTTGATAACTCTCCTGAGCAGTACCCTCTCTCTTATGCTTAAGAAACAAGAGGAGGGTCCGTCGGCTCCTCCCCTCCAGGTGGGTCGGGGGCGTCCAGCCGGGAAGTGCTCCTGCCCCCCCAGCCGCGCCTCAGATTCCCGCTTGAAGCCCAGTGGGGAGACTGTAGACCACCCTTCCTCCATTTCAGGATCCTGGGTGGGTGTCGCCTGGGACAGGCTCGGGGCGTGGCCACCAGGAAAGGGGCGTGGCCTCTTAAAAGTGGGCGTGGCCTTCTCCTTGGCGGGCAGCCGCTAATGCGCCCGCAGTTATATCACTCACATCAAGCACTGAGGACTCCCATCCCACAACTTGCTGCCTAATACCAACCAAACATTTCCCACCTCTTCTACTGCAATCCAACAACAACCCACTCGCCTACTCAAGTTCCAACAAAGACCTGTTTGAAAACAGCTGTATAAGTTCATTTCCAAATAGCACCTCCTCCAAAAGTTTCACTCAATGTCTGTTATAAAACAAAGAATAACGCCTGACTGAGAAGAACGTCAAACTCAGAAACGTAGAAAGGTGCCTACCATGGACAAAAACTTATCCATAATCCCTTCCCACTATAAGAGGGAATAGTATAATCTGTGCTGGACGGAACGGAGGCCCATTGTTTGGCAACAAAACTGAACGGCTCCTGGCAGTCTCTCCTCATTCAACCAGGTACAGCCTGCCCCACGGCTTGAGACTCCCCCAGGGAATGCGCAGCTAGCTTGATCCCCTAGAATTGCCGGTTTTCTCCCTTGACCTGCGCGGGACGGGAACTGAGGCAACATCAGATCCTGCGGCAACAACGCTGAAGGGATCCGGGAACTCTCTCCTCACTCAACCAGAATAGTAACAGTGAAGGTGAAGGACTAAAGCACACTGGTCACAATGGTAAAGCAACGCAAAAGCCCACCAAACTTTCTTATTGAAGAGGCTAGCCCAGAAGACACCAACAGTATTGTAGTATTAGACAACCTCTCTGACAAGGAATTCAGAAGGGAGCTACTTATGATGCTTAGGGAATTAAAAGAAACAATGGAAAGCAATGCCAATAAAAGACAAGAGGATTTGAAGGCAGAAATGAGAAAAATGCAATCGGAAATATCGGACCTGAAAACCATGGTAGGCGAATTGAAAACCTCAGTGGAAGGCCTCAGAAGCAGAGTAACAGCTGCTGAGAACAGAATCAGTGAGCTTGAAGTTGAAGTTCAGAGACTCGCCAGAAAAGAGCAGAAAATGGAAAAGAGACTCACAGTTCGGGAACAGATGGCAAGAGAAGATCGTGATGAAGCCAAGAGGGGTAACATAAGAATTATTGGCGTCCCAGAGGGACAGGAAGAAAACCCTGATGAAGAAGAAACTGTCAAAGACATCATTGCTACAACATTTCCAGAGCTGAAGAAAACTTGTGACCACATTCAGGAGGCCCGAAGGGTACCAGCTAGAAGAAATCCGAACAAAAATACCCCAAGACACATCCTGATCAAAATGACCAAAACTTTAGACAGAGACAAAATTCTGAAAGCAGCAAGATCGAAGAAAGAAATCTCTTACAAAGGAGCATCCTTAAAATTCACAGCTGATTTTTCTGATGAAACCCTCAGGGCCCGAAAACAGTGGTGGGACATAGTGAGAAAACTCAATGAAATAAATGCCTCTCCAAAAATACTTTACCCAGCGAGACTCTCATTCATAATAGAAGGAACAACACACAGTTTCACAGACAAACAACAGCTCAGGAACTTCATAGACTCAAGACCATGGTTACAAGTACAACTAAATGGGCTACTTTAAGACAGGACAGGCCCCTCAAATACACCTAATTTCAACAGAACAATGGGACAAAATCCCATAACAATAATCTCTCTCAATGTCAATGGGCTAAACGCACCAATTAAAAGACACAGAGTGGCTGGATGGATTAGAAAATTGAACCCAACATTCTGCTGCCTGCAAGAAACACACCTTAATAGTCAAAGCAAACACAGACTCAGAGTCAAAGGCTGGAAAACAATCCTACAGGCAAACAGCTCCCATAAAAAAGCTGGGGTAGCCACCTTAATATCAGACCACGACTATGCGTTAATCCAGGCAATCATTTCTGCCCAGAGGGGAAAGGGTGTTGCTCCCTTCCGCCCTCCTCCCTCTGGAAAGAAAGATGGCGGCCACATGGGAGCCTTGTGGACAGCAGGTATGAGCCGGGGGTGTGGGGGCGACAAAAACCTCATGGGAAGGGGGGCGTTCCGGTCCGTCCTTCACGTCCTACCGAGGTCACCAGTCACCCCCCACGAGCGGCTCTCCAGCACAGCCACGGCCCCAGAAGCACAAGGACTTAATGCAGAACCCAGCAGCTTGGAGCAGAAAAGTGAACGGACTATGCATTGATCCAGGCCATCAAGTCTGCCGGAGGGGAAAGGGTGTTGCCCCATTCGCCCTCTCCTCTCTGGAAAGAAAGATGGCGGCCACATGGGAGCCTTGTGGACAGCAGGTATGAGCCGGGGGAGTGGGGGCGACTAAAACCTCATGGGTCGGGGGGCGTTCCGGTCCGTCCTTCACGCCCTACCGAGGCCACCAGTTGCCCCCCACGAGCGGCTCTCCAGCACGGCCATGGCCCCAGAAGCACAAGGACTTAATGCAGAACCCAGCAGCTTGGAGCAGAAAAGTGAATGGACTATGCGTTGATCCAGCCCATCAAGTCTGCCGGAGGGGAAAGGGTGTTGCCCCATTCGCCCTCTCCTCTCTGGAAAGAAAGATGGCGGCCACATGGGAACCTTGTGGACAGCAGGTATGGGCCGGGAGTGTGGGGGCGACTAGAACCTCATGGGAAGGGGGGCGTTTCGCCCCGCCCTTCATGCCCTACCGAGGCCACCAGTTGCCCCCCACGAGCGGCTCTCCAGCACGGCCACGACTCCAGAACACAGAAACCAATTTCTTAACTATCTGACTTTCAGTAGAAATACTTCCAGGGTCAATAAGTAAAATAGCAGAAATCCAAAACCAACATTTAATTCTTGAACCCAGCTGGAGAAAGCAAATCACTTCACAATGCTTTTTCAGCATGTCTGATTTGGGGGGGGGGGGGTAAACTCTAAATAATAGTGGTGAATCTTTTATTGAAACAATCTAATCAAAGCGGATAGAGTGTTAACTAGAATTCATCTGCCTCACAGGGACGGGGAGGGGTGGGGGGTGGGGTTTTATTGGGGTTCTTCATGGGAAAAAATAAGTATTGGTAAAGGGAAATGTGTTTGATATTTGCATGACTGAGACATAAACCTGAAAGCTTTGTAACCTTTCCCACAGTGATTCAATAAATAAAAAAAAAAAAAAAAAAAAAAAAAAAAAAAAAATATCAGACCACATCGATTTCAGAGTGAAGAAGTTCATAAGAGACAGTGAAGGCCATTTCTTAGTGATCAAAGGATCTGTACAACAGGAAGAACTTACAATAATAAATGTATATGCACCTAATGAGAGACCAGCAAAGTACTTAAAACAACTACTCATAGATTTGGAAAAAGACATCAATAGCAACACAATACTAGTGGGAGACTTCAACACTGCTTTGTCACCTCTGGATCGATCAACCAGACTCAAACTTAGCAAGGACATACTTAATCTGAGGGAAACAATGGAAGAAAGGGACTTAGTAGATATATACAGGACACTTCATCCTCAAAAGGCTGAATACACATTCTTCTCAAGCATACATGGAACATTCTCCAAGATAGACCACATGCTGAGCAACAAAACATACCTCCATAAAATTAAGAAGATAGAGATTGTATCAACAATCTTCTCAGACCACAATGCGCTTAAATTAGAAGTAAATCACACACAAAAACAGAAAAGTAAATCAAACACCTGGAAATTAAACAGTGCGCTATTGAACAACGAGTGGCTTAGAATGGAAATCAAAGAGGAAATCAAAAGATTCCTAGAAACGAATGAAAATGAGGACACGAGTTACCAAAACTTATGGGACACAGCAAAATCTGTCTTAAGAGGAAAGTTTATAGCTCTACAAGCATTCCTTAGAAAGGAGGAGTGAGCCCACATAAATAAACTAACCTCACAGCTTAAGAGCTTGGAGAAGGACCAACAAAAGGAGCACAACCCGAACAGGAGGAAGGAAATAATAAAACTCAGAGCAGAGATTAACGAGATGGAAACCCAAAAAACAATCCGAAAGATCAATGAAACCAAGAGCTGGTTCTTTGAGAAAATTAACAAGATCGATAAGCCTCTAGCAAAACTCACAAAGAAGGGGAGAGAGAAAACCCTAATAAACCGAATCAGAAATGAAAAACGGGTCATCACAACAGAAACTAAAGAAATTCAAAGGATCCTCAGGGAGTACTTTGAGAAGCTTTATGCCACGGAACATCAAAACCTCGAGGAAATGGATAAATTCCTAGACTCCTACAGACTCCCAAGGCTGAACCAAGAAGACCTGGAATACCTGAACAGACCTATCACCATCAAGGAAATTGAAATGGTAATAAAAAGTCTCCCCAAGCACAAAAGCCCTGGCCCGGATGGATTCACTAGTGAATTCTTCCAAATCTTTAAAGAAGACTTACTCCCAATCCTCTTTAAGCTTTTCCACGAAATTGAAATATCAAAAACACTTCCGAATAGTTTCTACGAAGCGAATATCACACTGATACCAAAAGCAGACAGAGATACCACAAAGAAAGAGAATTACAGGCCGATATCCCTGATGAACACAGATGCAAAGATCCTCAACAAACTACTAGCAAATAGAATCCAACTACTCATCAAAAAGATCATACACCATGACCAAGTAGGATTCATCCCAGGGATGCAAGGATGGTTTAACATTCGGAAATCAATCAACATAATCCACCATATCAACAAAAGAAAAGATAAAAAGCATATGATCATATCAATAGATGCAGAGAAAGCATTTGACAAGGTCCAGCACCCCTTTATGATGAAAACCCTAGCCAAAATGGGTATAGAGGGGACTTTCCTCAACATAGTTAAAGCCATCTACCACAAGCCTACAGCAAGCATCATCCTCAATGGGGAAAAACTGAGAGCCTTCCCTCTAAGATCAGGGACGAGACAAGGATGCCCACTCTCTCCACTGCTGTTCAATATAGTACTGGAAGTACTTGCAATAGCGATTAGGCAAGAAAAAGATATTAAGGGCATTCAGGTAGGAAAAGAAGAAATCAAGCTCTCACTATTCGCAGATGATATGTTACTATACTTAGAGAATCCAATAACCTCCACCAAAAAACTCCTAGAAACAATAGACTCGTATAGTAAAGTTGCAGGCTATAAAATCAATACCCAAAAGTCCATGGCTTTCCTATACGCAAACAGTGAGAGAGAAGAAAGCAACATGAAAAAAACAATCCCGTTCACAATTGTGCCCCAGAAAATCAAGTACCTAGGAATCAGCTTAACTAAGGAAGTAAAGGACCTGTACAAAGAAAACTACAAAACGCTACTTCAGGAAATAAAAGAGGACATGAGGAAATGGAAAGATATCCCCTGCTCATGGGTCGGGAGACTTAACATTGTCAAAATGGCAATACTACCGAAAGCATTGTATAAATTCAATGCAATCCCTATAAGGATACCCATGACATTCTTCAAAGAAATGGAGCAAACACTCCTGAAATTTATATGGAACAATAAGCCCCCACGAATAGCTAAAGCAATTCTTGGGAAAAAGAAAATGGGAGGAATCAACCTCCCTAACTTCAAACTGTACTACAAAGCAGTAATAATTAAAACAGCGTGGTACTGGAACAAAAGCAGAACTGCAGACCAATGGAACAGGGTTGAATACACTGTCATCTCCCCTCAATCATATGATCATCTAATCTTTGATAAAGGTGCAAGAAATGTGAAGTGGAGTAAGGAAAGCCTCTTTAACAAATTGTGCTGGCATCACTGGACGGCTACATGCAAAAAAATGGGCTCAGAACTCTGCCTAACACCATGTACAAAAATAAGATCAAAATGGATTAAAGAACTCAACATCAGACCAGACACCATAAGGTACATTGAAGACAAAGTTGGCAAAACCCTCCATGACATTGAGGCTAATGGTACTTTCAAAGATGCCACGCCACTGGCCGAGCAAGTGAAAACAGAGATAGATAAATGGGACTATCTTAAACTAAGAAGCGTCTGCACCTCCAAAGAAACAGTGACCAAAATACAAAGACAGTCTACAGAATGGGAAAGGATATTCACCGAATACACTTCTGACAAGGGGTTGATAACAAGGATATACAAAATACTGGTGGAACTCCACAGGAAGAAAACATCCAACCCCATCAAAAAATGGGGCAATGAAATGAACAGAAACTTTCTCAAAGAAGAAATCCGAATGGCAAAAAAGCACATGAGAAAATGCTCTACATCATTAATCATCAGGGAGATGCAGATCAAAACCACAATGAGATACCATCTCACACCTCAGAGACTGGCCCACATTCAAAAGAACAAAAGCAACCGATGCTGGCGCGGATGTGGCGAGAAAGGGACACTCCTTCACTGTTGGTGGGAATGTCGACTGGTTCAGCCCTTCTGGAAAACAGTATGGACGATTCTCAAAAAATTAGAAATTGAGCTCCCATTTGACCCAGCGATACCACTCCTGGGAATATACCCCAGAGAGGCAAAAATGTGTAGTCGAAGTGTCATCTTCACTTGTTTGTTCATTGCAGGACTCTTTACAATAGCCAGAAACTGGAAGAAACCTGAGTGCCCAAGAACAGATGACTGGTTAAAGAAACTTTGGTACATCTACACAATGGAGTACTATGTAGCTCTTAGAAAAGATGAAGTCATGAAATTTACATACAAGTGGTACAATATGGAAAGTATCATGCTAAGCGAAATGAGTCAGAAAGAGAGGGATAGACATGAAAAATTGCACTCATCTGGGGGATATAAAGCAACAAAATATGAGATCAATACCTAAGAATAGCTGAGATCAACACCAGGAGGATTACTCCATAGCTTAGAGACCAGCCGGATATTCTAGGGAAAAGGGCAGTTCAGATAGAGAAGGGAACACCAAATAAAAGGTGTTTGGAGGATCCTCCCAGGAGGGGAAATGCATGTTGAAATTAGACTATGGACTGAACATGATTGCCACTCAATGCCTCTTTTGCAGACCACAACACCCAAAAGGAGAGAGAGAACAAAGGGGAATGCCCTGCCACAGAGGCAGGGTGGGAGGGGGGGTGGGGGGAAATGGGCACTGGTGGAGGGATGGGTATTTGATCATTGTATGACCGAAACTCAAGCACAAAGATTTGTAAATCTACAACTGTACCTCATGGTGCTTCACTTAAAAAAAAAAGAAACAAGAGGAGGAGCAGCACTGAGCCCAATGGGTTCAAATCTGCTACTGATTCCTGTGTGTCCTTAGGACCTTACCTAACTTCCTGAAGCTTGGTTTTCTTCGTCCACAGTCAACATCGTCCTTTTAGGGAGGTTATGAGAAGATCAGGGTGAGGGAAAGGATGTGGGGTCCTCTCTCCCTTGCTTGCCCTGGAGTCCTCTTCTGGCGGTTGGGATTAGGATCCAGACTTTCCGTGCAGCTCAGCTCCTGACTCTGTGGTGGAGTAATGAGTGCACAGGCTCCCAGATAATGAATCTGAAAGTAAAACTCACTACTCTTGAGTCAGTGAAGATAAATCGACCACACAAGGTCCAATATCCAGTTCGCAGAACTTCAGTCTTTCCTCCTTCTCACCAGTTAGAAGAGTATTTTCATATCCCACGTTTCAGATTTTTCTGCACAGCCCACCTGTGAGTCAGGAAGAAGTGGCAATTTACTACAATATGGACAATACAATTGACACCTCAACATTTTAACATCCATTGAGTTGGTGTCCACGTCAGAGAATGAGATAAACACACAGTCTTGGGATCGGGAGTTCCCTAGCCCTGGGAGGCGCGGAGAGACCAGATAGACACAATTCCTGCAGGAGTAAAAACGGGGTTTATTTAGGCCAGCATGCTGGGGCTCCATAGCATACCCCAGAGTGGGCAGTGGCTGAGAGCCCCGAGCTTCTTCAAAGGGGATCTTATATAGGCCTTCACTGGCCGTTACAGCAAGGCCCGCACATTTCATAGCCAATAGATTTGTAACAACATATACTTTCTTAACCAATCCATTTAAAAGTACCTCACTCCTTAGCCTATAGATTCAAAGATCAGCATTTACGTACATCGATTGTCAGCACAAGCAAGGTTATAGCTGGAATCATTAAGCCTTGGGTAATCTCCCTTGACCATCCACATTTTGAGTTACCCAAGTCTGCAGGGTGCTTTAGTGAGACAATACACTCCAGGAAAGGGCAATTTCCCCCAACCACTGCATCCTGAGTTATCCTTTACCCAAGTCTGCAGGATGCTTTACTGAGACAATACATTTCAGGTACAGTAAATACACCTGAATCCTGTCACACTTGGTTTAGAAAGAAGTTATGCCTGTTCACTTTCCAAGTCCCCTCTCCCCCAGGTGCAAAGCAGCCAAGCAGTTTTACAGAAAGCAATGTTGCAAGTTAGCTGAAGCAAGCAAAAATTTGATGCCCTAATATGGATTCTTTCACACCCAAGACATTTGCAGAGTTCCCATCACCCAAGACATCTGCAGGATTCTTTATTGGAACAATACATTCCAGGAACAGTGAATACGCCTGAACCCTGTTACACTTGGTTTCCCAAGGAGTTACGTCCTGTTTTGCTCACATTCACAAGAAGTTACATCCTGTTTCAAAGCAGTCGAGCAGTTTTACAGAAAGCAATGTTGCAAGTTAGCTGAAGCATGCAAAAACTTAATGCCCTAATATGGATTCTTTCAACATCATATTCAATCAATGGTTTTGCCTGACCTACGTCACTGTTGTTCCAAAATTCCAAATGGGATCAGACCACCATCTCCTTCGTGCAAAATTCTACTTCACGAAGCTTGGAGAAAGGGCTGCAAAGTTTAAGAAGAAAACTCCCAGAACAATCACCAACTGGGAGCTCTTTGGCACTATTGTGGCAATATGGGAAGATGCCAGCATCGACAACATCGACAAAGAATACTATCGACTAGTTTTGCACCTCCATGATTGTGCGAGGAATGCTGAGGGAGAGAAAACCACAAAAATACACCTGCCTTCGGAAACTCTCGAGCTCATTTGCCAACGTGGTATGGCGTGAGCCTCAGGCAAACACAAGCTAACCTCCGAACTCACAAAGCTGTGTAGAGAAGCGATAAAGGAAGACCTTAAAGAGAGAAGAGCAGCAGTGTTGACTGATGCGGCATAAGCTGGGAAAAGTATTCTCAATACACTTGTCCTTCGCCAAATACAAGACCAAGATGGCTGCCCTCCGACATCCTGGTGGATCTTTCACACATTCTAGAAGAGCAATGGAAAAGGTTATTCATGACTTCTACTTGGATCTCTTCTATAGCCACGTCCACCTGCCCACATACCAAATTCCACAGGATGGATATGTCTTTCCCAGCGTTCTTCCTTCCAAAATCCAACATGCCATTTTGTCGGTAAAGAAGCATACGGCACCTGGTATAGACAAGGTCAGACCTGAACACCTGAAGAATCTACCACGAGTACTCATCAATACACTGCTTGGCTCTTTACATGCTACCTGTCTGAATACAAGTTTCCATCCCAGTGGAAAACCAGCAGGATCATTCTGTTGTACAAGAAGGAAGACATCCATGACATTGGCAACTATTGCCTGATCTGCCTGTTGTCCATCGTCTACTAGTTATTCACTTAAGTCATCCTGAATAGGATTGGCAGAGCACTAGATGAAGGACAACCATGCGAGCAAGTTGGATTCCGAAAAGGATTCAGCACGATTGACCATATTCACATGCTGATCAAGCTCATTGAGGTTTCTCGAGAGTTCAAGATGCCATCCTGTCTAACGTTCATTGATTTAAAGAAGGCTTTGATTCTGTTGAGACTGAAGCCCTAGCCAAACAGGGTGTTCAAATTCAGTACATCAGGATCCTCCATGAGCTGTATTATGGATTAACTACTAGATCTCACCATTCTACAAGGAAGTGATCATCAACGTAAAGAGAGAGGTTCAGCAGGGCGATACCATTTCACCGAAACTCTTCACTGCCACCTTCAAGAACCTCATGACACGACTGGAATGGGAAGGAATTGGAGTTAAGATAGATGGTCGGCTACTACACCACAACTGCTACACCAAATATCAGCCAAGTGGCACAAATACTGGCTGACTTCTACCATAAGTGTGGAAAAGTTAGACTGCAGCGAACTTCACGAAGACCTCATGAAAAACAAACTAGTTCCTGACGTTCCATTTGCTCTCAATGGAATGAACATCTCTGATTGCAGCAGTTATTTGTACCTAGCTATAGAACTCAACATGAAAACGACTTGGCACCTGAACTGCACAGGAGGAAGAGAGTGGCATGGAACACCTTCAAGAGCGTCAAAGAAGTGGTTAAGAAGATGAAGAACCTCTGGCTCTGGCCACCTCTTTTCGACTCCATCGTTCTTCTGCACTCTCTGCACTAACATACTTCTCAGAGACCCGGGTCCTACGAAAACAGGATGAGAATGCTGTTCGAGTATCCCAAAGAGAAATTGAAAGAGCTATGCTTGGAATATCACGTTTCACTCAAGCGAGAGAAAGAATCCAGAGTTCCAACCTCTGTCGTCCATCAAGAATCAGGGACACTGTCTCGTTTGTCAAGGTGTCTAAAATCATATGGGCCAGACACATAATGCGATTTAGAGATGACCGCTGGACTAGAAATGTCACTGACTGGATTCCACGGGACGTCAAAAGAACGTGTGGCCGCCCAAATACGAGATGGTCAGACTTCTTTGTCAAAACCCTGAATGAATGGTTTGAGGCTCTTCGTATTCCTGGAGCGAGCAGATGCAACTGGGCTACAATAGTACGCAACAGGGACGAATGGAGACGTTACTGGTGCCCACTCGAGCAAATCAATGAGCAATGGGATGACAAGTGATACAAGTAATACCGTTGCTGGTTATCTTGGTGTCTCTGATAACGAGGCAGGATGACACAAGACCCTCAGAGCAAGAGGCACAGACAGACTTGCATGATGTAGCAGCCAGGTGGGGCTGCAGCTTCTGGTGGAGAAGAGCCGTAGGTACTTTTCAACTTAAATTGTGAGTTGCCATCTACCCACTGGAAACACTACAGTTCCAGCGACCATAAAATTGGATACTGCTGACCCCAATATCACAAGAAGAGTCACCCAGAACGACCATCTACAGTCAGGATCTTGTCCCAGTCTATGGTTATCTGCATTTCTGCCACTGTGAAGGCCTTGGCAGATCTGAGGGGAGTGATCTGGAGATACTGAGATGGGGCCCGACAGCTGTCACAGCGCCACCTAGAGGTGGACGGCAGAATCAGAACCCAGAGGACAGCACTCCTCAGCCCTTCCTTGGTCCCTGGAGCTGGGGACTGGAATTGGATTAGATGCTTGTCATTAGGGAGAGTGTCGCAGAGCAGAGACCCCACTCTTTGCCCTTCCTCGTATTATAGGGTGCATGGAATAGAGTAGGGGTTTGTGACACGGGGATCTTACAGACATCATAGAGAAGAGCAGAAATGATTCATGCCATCAAGCTGAGTGCTGAGGCAGCTGGTGACAGCGTCATAAGGTTTGGAGAGGACAGTCTTGACACTGGCCATGGTGGTCGGGCTGCCCACATCGTCCAGGGACATTTCTATTGTCTTGCAGGCTGAAGAAAATAGACATGCTGCTGCAGGAATGTGCAGCGCTAAGAGGGAAGATAGAAAGACAATCTAACAGTCCCGTGAAGCCTAAGTAGAAATGGGTTTGATTCCTTGTGGATAAAGTGTTGGATAGATTACACACGTTTGCAGCGCTTGAAACAGCATTAGAGTCCCATGAAAAGAGGTGACCGAGAGATTAATTGAGATGACTACTTTTTTTTTTTTTTGTTTTTGGAAGCGGGTCAGATCAGGCTATGCTCAGGGTTTACTCCAGCTCTGAACTTAGAAATTACCGTTGGGGACCATATGGGATGAAATGAAATGATGAAATGATGGAATCCAGGTTGGTTGTCTCAAGGAAAATGCCCTATCTGCTGTACTATTGATCAGGCCCAAGATTACTAAGATAAATAATTTAAAATCTGAAGATCTGTGGTTGAGAACCGGGGAGGTGGAAGGTAAGCACCCTGAAGAGTAGTGGATCCCCAAGCAGGAGAGGTGAGTGTGGTGGGGTCGGGTATGGAGCTTCAGGTCAGGGTGGTGAGAGTCACAATAATGGGATTTGGAGAAGGTGCAGCGAACTCACCACCCTGACAATCAGGGCACCTTGAGCTTCCTGTATGCTATTATTTAGTGCTAAAACTGAGCCTTAACTTCATAGCATTGATATGGGGCGCTTTTAACACCCCAAACCAAACTGGACAGTGAATCTGATACCCTCTGTACCGCTGGAGTTGCCTCTGTTGAATGCTGGGACCTGGTCGAGGCAAATTCACCTTCTGAAAGGAGTTTCCAGGTGGAGTAGTATGGACAAGCTGCATCAGCTATAACAGTGGGTGGCAAAAGGATGACTCAGAGGGCTACAGGTTGACCCTTCCTCAGTCCCCGGGAACCTCACCCTAAATACTTGGCAAATCCGATTGCACGTGAAGATGATGAGGACAGACAGGAATCTGTTGAGATTTGTCCGGCTGTCTGGAGTCCAAGGGAGCAGGAGACAGAAGCCAGCAGCTGCCTGGCCAAGAACCTCTCCCAAACCAGGTCCCCCATCCGGGTTCACTGGGATTTCAGGCAGCTTCACCTCCTGCTCTGAGATGCAGATGGGAAGAACCAGGACTTTGGGGGTGCTGAGGACAGGGGCGCTCAGATCACTCTGTGGGAATAGATCTCCCCTTGATGAAAGGAGGCGGAGAAGAAAGAAAGCAGAGAAGACCCAAAAGGGAACTGAGGACCCAGGCTCTATATAAAAGCAGCTCAGAGGGGAGGGAATTCCCATAAGAGGGTGCTGTCCGCACCCCTCCCCAATGTCAGGTACACTCCTGACATTGTACCTCAACCTGGTGGGCAGCGGCTGACATTCTACTTTCCTTTTGAAGACCCCTCCATGGATGAGTATGACAGTATGAATAAACAAAAACACTAATTTCTGATTCTTAGTAAAAAACGATTCTAATGTGATCAATGGTACATCACGTTAGATGGAGACTGGTGACCACGTTTGGATAAGATGTTGGAATAATGGCAGCTCCAAGGTGTTCAAGGCAAAAGCAAAGAGAATGGAGGGATGATAAGGTGAGAACTGTCCCTCAGCCATGCATAACGTCTTCTCTGTAGGGTAGGGCAGGGTCATTTCAGTTCCCTTTAGTTATTTTAAAGAGAATAAAAAATTTTATTGAAAGAAATTTGTGCTGGAGCACAGCGGGTAGGGCGTTTGCCTTGCATGTGGTCGACCTGGGTTCAATTCCTCTGTCCCTCTCGGAGAGCCCCACAAGCTAGCGAGATTATCCCGCCTGAAAGGCAGAGCCTGGAAAGTCCCCTGTGATGTATTTGATATGCCAAAAACAGTAACAACAGGTCTCACAATGGACACGATACGGGTGCCCGCTCGAGCAAATTGATGAACAACGGGAGGGCAGTGCTACAGTGCTGCTTTGAAAGAAATTTATAGAAAAATGAGGAGAAAGAAAGAGAGAAACTCTTAGTCAAGAGTGAACTGGGATTCTCCAGGGTGGGCAAAGCCTGAACATGCCCATTTGGAAGAGAAACATTGAGTGGAAGAACCAGCTGTGTTAGTGACAGTCCAACGAAACATTGAATTCAGACGGGACTTATGTGCAGTCCATTGAGAGAGGAACTCCCTGGAGAACGGAAACATTGATCTCAGGCTATGGTGCTCCACCCATGACATAACTTCTGATTATTGGGATTTGTAGGTTCAGGTTCTTTGTATTTGGTTCCACCAAGGAAGCCTTGATAGCTCTGCTGGTATATATAAGGTTATTAAATCCATATCAGATGGAGGTGAGTCATTGGTCCCTTTCCGATAAGAGTGAATATTATGTGAAAGGTAGTGAAGGAACAGAATGTCTAGAATATGCAAAAACTCAGAAAGATTCTGGAGCTAAGGAGTATCCCTATTTCTAATTCTTTTCCCTCATCCCTTATACTGAACATACCTTGAATACCAGGTCCACGTTCTTCAGCCAACTGAGATTTTCGCATGTTAAACAGAGACACCAAAATTCCACGTGATTGAACTTTTGTGTAAGGTCCTCAAGGGAGAGCATATGTCCTCAAGTGCAACCTGCCCTGGTCATTGTCCCTCATGACCTCTGTGGATATTGGTTCCTTTCCTTTTTCTGAACTACCTAATTCCTTTTTCCAATAGAACCGCTGTTTTTCCTCATGTTAGTCTGAGTCTATGTCTGTTGCTGTAACCAAATGAATCTGAGCTGGTATAACTGTTCAATAAAATTGCATCTAAAGCAGTTAAACACAATGGAACTCAGGGATGAGGGATTGCTGAGTTACCACATGAAATTCCTTAAAACACTAAGCACACAGTTGATATTGAAAGAAAAAAAGAGAATGATCTCAAATGCTGGAGAATTGAGTAGGAGGTGAAACACAAAGTTTGGGCATCAGGCAAGTGACAGACCTCCCCTTTACTGACTTCTCTTGTGTCTGTTGGGATGGAACCAAGGTTTCAAACTTGCAAGATTTGCATTTTAGCACTGAGTCAAGTTCCTGGCACGTTTTTGAACTCTTTTGACCTCTGGCAACACCCAGTGATAAAGGCCCTCCCGTTGATCGTCGATTTGCTCGAGCGGGCTCAGTAACGTCTCCATTGGAGACTTTGTTGTTACTGTGTCTGGCATATCGAATACTCTCGGTAGCTTGCCGGGCTCTCCGAGAGGGGCAGAGGAATCGAACTCGGGTCGGCCATGTTGGCCGCTTGTAAGGCGAACGCCCTACCCGCTGTGCTATAGCTCCTGGCTTTGTGCTCAAGAATTGCTCCTTGCAAGTCTCCAACCCAAGGGTATTCTCAGTTAAACTGGGGTCAGTCACATAGAAGGCAAGTACCTTACCTGCTCTACTACCTCTCAGGCCCATCTGCTGACCTCTCTAGGAAGAGATGGAAGACCCATTTGAAAGCCACTGCAAAACACTGCCTACAGTTTGGGGGCTGAGAAAATTCTTCTTCCAATGTAGATAAAAGTTTATATTAGGGAGTATAGACTTTGTGCGTGACCCAGAGTTTCTTACAATGCATTTTATTTTTGACTTTGACAGGACCCGTATCTTAAGGATATACTGGTCTAATTTGGGATGGGGAGAGGGAAGGGGCAGTATCTCAGGCATATAGATAGAGAAGCATGCCTGAGGGTTTTGTGAGACTAAGAAAAACACCGTGGTAGCTTGGGCAAGGATTTTGTTGGCTGCCCCTTTTCTTTCACTTCAATTCTGGCTGATCCTCTCACAGTGTCACAAATGAGGATCTCGTTCAGTCAGTTGAGTGTATGTCCCATCAGTTAGAGTGCAGGTGAGTCCATTAGTCAAGTCCAGAAAGTCTTTAAGAATTCTCATGTTTATGGAACTAGCAGCGGCAAGCAAGGGCCAGGAACAAGACAGAACTGAAATATTTTGATATTTAGCAGGTTGTGCCTCTGAGATGTTGTATCTCTTCATGTTTAATTTCAGAGTTTCTGTGGCAGGGCCAGGAATTGAACACTTGCAAGAAAAATGCTCTTTTGTGTAACTACTGCCTTGACCTCAGCATGTTCTCTTTGTTGCAAACCAAGAGATGATACGGCAAGATTCTTGACTTGTATTGTCTTCTGGTTTCTTATTTCACTTTTTCTCAGAACAACTCTGTTCCCACAGCAGAATTTCACTATCATCTTTTGCTCTTTCTCGACGTCCCCAAACAATAGTGATTTGACAAAAATTCTACGATTCAAGTGTCATTGCCACCACCACTACCACCACCACTATCATTGTCGTTAAGAGTTACAGACTAAGTGAAATAAGTATGCCTGAGGCTAAAGGTAGGTTTCTGTAGGAAAGGCCAGGCAAGGAGAAAATGGATTACAAAAGGAATCAATGACTTTTTACTGTGATCTGAACCACGGAGTGGGGGGGGGGAGTAAACAAAGGAGCCATATTACTTCTCTATTCCAGTAATTCTTTTCTTTTTTCCCAGCTACAACAACCAAACTTTATTATTATTATTAATTTTTATTTTACAAAGAGGTTCATGATTAGATTTCAGTCATACAGTGTTCCAACACCCATCCGTCCACCAGTGTACATTTCCCAACATCAATGTCCCCAGGTTTCCTCCCCTGCCCCCTCCCCCCACCCCCTGCCTACCTCTATTCTATTCCAATAATTCTAACATTTCACCCTCTACTATACCCGGGAAATGTTTCCCATCCTTTCCTTCCACCTACCACCCTGCTCTCTGTACTCCTCTGAGGTAATCTGGCTCTACTTCAGATTCTTATAGAACTGTTGGAGTCTCACCAACATATTTTCCAGCTCCTGAGCCCACTGCCTCAGCTTCTGACCAGACTGTGATTTCCCCACATCTTGTAAATCCTTTGAGACTTGCAGTAGACTGTATCCATCCAAAAGAATTGCTAAACCTTTGGAGACCCCACCAATGACATAGGTTCCCTTGCTCATTGTACTAGCAGTGTCTACTAACATTGTGCCCCACACATTATGAGCTCCCAACCTGGGGCCGAGCATGCTAAGCCTATTGCAATAAGCATAATTTTCTATGTTTCTCGCAACCTTAAAATTATTTATTAAAGAAGAGATTCTTTCTTTGCTGTCACCTAAAAGTTCCCAGAGCCTATGTAAATTTTTTTCAGTTGATTCCAATTTGTTGACTTCAGCTTCTATGCATGCCATACATCTGTGGTCAATGGTGGTGCTGACCACAGCTGTGATAATAGCCAGTATCCCCATCGAAAGGGCAGGTTCTGAAACTGCTGAACTGAGCCCTGCTGTAAATGGGGCCAGACCTATGCCCATAATATACAAGATGTTGGATAGGATGACAATGGAGTCTGCCACCACATTAACAATGGTACAGATCTTGTGGACCTTATCAGTCATTTCTGCAAAGGCATATAGCTGTTTTATATGCACTTCAACATCTTTTTTCACCTGGGAATATAAAATCTTCAAAAACTTCTCCCTAACCTCCTTCTCTTGTTGGCACATCTCTTTGATTTCCACAGCCGTGAGTTTTTCATGTTTCTTTAGACGTTCATGAACTGCCTTTGCCTCATGTCTATAACAAAGAAGGCAGATGTTGACAGTCAGTTAGATGATCTGCAAGTGAGCTGGACAATGTGTATCCGGGATAATCCTCAGCATTTTCACTATCATTCAAATGAAAGAAGCAATGAATTTTTTCCCCTTAAATTAAGTATGTGTTATACATTGTAGATGATACCCAGTACTTATTCAGAGTGGTATAAACACGTTAACATCATTTAAGATGCTCTTAAATCACGGTCACAGTCATGGTCCTCCCGTTGTTCATCGATTTGCTCAAGCGGGCCCAGTAATGTCTCCATCGTGAGACTTTGTTGTTACTGTGTTTGGCATATTGAATACGTCACAGGTAGTTTGCCAGGCTTTGCCGTGTGGGCGAGACACCCTCGGTAGCTTGCCAGACTCTCCGAGAGGAGCGGAGGAATCGAACTCCAGTCAGCCATGTTGGCTGCATGCAAGGCAAACAGCCTACCGTTGTGCTGTCCTTAAACAACCAACACCCTTAAGGACAAGTTAACACCTTCAGCACACCAGTGTTTGTATCAACCCTCTAAAACAAGAAGGGGGATGGACGTGGGAGCACCTTGGTTCAGAGCATTTAGTGTGGAGTGAGAGTAAAGTTGCTCAGTCAGGTGTGAACTTTGCCATAGTCCTTGGGAAATGATTTCCTGGCACCCTGATTGTTCTATTTGATAGAAGGATCCTCAGTCACCTGAATATTGGAGACCAGCAGATGGTCTAACAATGTGATGTTCTGATGTGACTTTGGGCCATGTCATATCAATTCTGACCTGGGGAGAGTCTAGAAGCTACAAGTCAAACTGTGGGCAGTATGTGTCTGACCTGAATGTAATTTTACACAGTGATTGGGTAGAAACTGATTATATTCTTGAGCAAGGCTTAGTCAGTTTTTGTGAAGCTCTCTTCTGGACTTGAGCTTGACCCTGGCTTTCCATGTCCTCCTCGCCAATCAATAAAATCCTGCCTAAAAGAACCTAGTGAGTTGGATTATCGAGAGAATCCCCCCTACTTGTCCCAACACCAGATATGATATTAACTACCTGTTGGTGTAGCCAGTCTATAGGATGAGTCCTCGGATGCTGACCCACAAGCGTGCAGTACCCTGGACCCCACTTTCACAAGTGGCCCGGCGACGGTTGTGAGTCTGACTAGTCTGGAAAGGGTTAACATTCCTTCCCTCAGCTCCCTTGGCCTTACCCTAACTCCTGGCAGTACAAAGAATCAGTCTTCCATTCCCACATATCTCTAACCCAGCTCGGCTTTAGAATTCTCTCATATCCCCTTATGAGATATAGCCCCAGGTTTGGGGCTATAACCCATGGTGCCTGGATCCCTAGGTTGTTGACCACTGGGATTACAGATTCAACAGGACAAAATATTCCTTGATGTTTTATCGTCCTTCCTGTAAACTCCTTTTCCCCGTTAATGATTTCTGAGTGTTAGTGTACTGAGTGCATTAGATGTGTGTACATAGGATGGTAAATAAACGGGCCTGAGGGACGCTTCTCTATGCTTCTCTGCCAGAGCAAGCAAGGAGCCTCTCCAGAAAATCTCATTTCTCTTGCATTTCTTATCTCAGTGCCCCCAAGCGAAAGAATATTCAAACAACAACCACTCTCACTTTTTATGTTTTCGTTCTTGACTTGTCTTTAACCAAAGTTCTCTTAGATCAGTTTTGCAAAAATGACCCCTATTCTTGGAGTCTCTCTGGATATTCTGGTCACCTACTTCACGCTCCTTCCCTGTGAATTCCCACCTGTATTTGATGTATTTTTCCCTATGTCTTTTCTGGCAGTGATTGAAACACCTATAAAACTGCTCATGAATACTGTCATCTCGATGTTTCTATCAAGAGTCAAAATCGGTTTCTCTCCCATAGGGTGAGATTCCTGGTTAGCAGTATTCAAATGTGAGGTGACATTGATTTCAGGACAATGACAGTTCCTGAGGATAAGCAATGTCAAATTTGAGACCTTCCCAGACTGCACATTTCCCCTTGTATCTATCAACTGCCATCATCTCTCTCTAATAAACTGCAACTATGATCCCATCAGCCTTGTTCACTCAATGAGATAAGCTAGTGAATTTTCCATCTTGATTGAGTTAAGACGAGTAAGAAGAGCTGCTAAAATCTCAGGCCTGGGAGGTATAGAGGCGTTACTGATGCCCACTCTAGTAATTCGACGATCAATGTGATGACAGTGATATAGTGACAGTGATTGAGTTTTGGAAGACACCACCCCAAACTTGTTGATGGTGTCAAATGTAAAGTTGTTTAGTGGATATGGCTTCACATTGGGCAGGTGACTAAGTCTGAATTGAGAAAACAATCTCATTAACTATAGGAAGAAACTTTCACTGTATTTCCTCCTTACATTTACAAGCCTGATAATATAAAAACTGATTCAAGATTTTAGACAAAAATACAGCTACAGATTCAGTTGCTTAGCAAGCAGGCATCTGCTTCTAAGCTTGGTTCCGCTAGGCTAAGAGGCCCCCTAATGACCCTCAGTGACCTCTTTCCCACTGGCCTCTCAGATGTCACCAGTCTAATTTGTAGCTTTGCAGCAAGAGCTGCAAGTGTGTGCCTACCAGGTCACTTGCAACGTTACAGAACCCCCCAAATATCTCAGAGAAAAAGTTGAGAGTCATCTCTTGTTATGAAAAGATACTGCTAGAAAAATCTGCAATTGGCTTGTTTCTGGAGAAAAACATTCCTCTTTAGTTAGACTTGGGAGTTTCCTCAGTACGTTTCAATCACACACACACAAAAGCAGCTACTTTGCAAGTAACTGTGATATTATTAGTGGTCAGTTACAACACTGACCCCAGCCATGGGGTAGGGGATTCCAATGTAGAATAGAAGAGTGTCCTGGATGACTGTGTAAAATCTCATCTCCAGATGGCTGTGGAGGAAATGATCCCCTAGACTGAGTCATCCATCCCAGACTAAGGGCGTCCAATTGGGAAGGGAAGAATTCTGGGCAGGATGCTAGTGGTTGTTGTCCATTGAACCCCAGTGTTTACTCTAATTCCTTCAATTAAGGTAGAATTATTGCTACTCTCATTGGATATGTGAGAAATCTGGGAATGCCAAGCACAGATTTAGATCCCTCATGCTGGATGCAGATAGAGTCAGGATCGATCTAGCTCACTATGCACAAACATCTTATGACTTCTCTGTCCCATGGATTGAAAGGTCCATGTAGCAATTGAATTATCTACTTAATTGGAGAGAAAGGACTTTTGCAGAGGGCCCAAGTTTGCCAAAATATTCTTCCTTCTCCCTAAAGGAAGTGATTACTTTCATCTCTATGAAGAGGACTCTCAGTCTTGTTTCTTTCTGGTATGATTTCCAAATGGTGATATTTGTTGATTATCATTGTGTGTCAGTACTATGCTAAGTACTTATATGCACTGCCACATTTTCTTGAAGGGGAGTGAACGGAGATATGACACTGAAGTTAATCCCTTGTGCATGCTCACATAACCCCTTCGTACACATTCCTCTCTACTCAGGTTGTCACTGCAATTTGGATGACATAGCCATCAGATATTGTGAGTGGGCACATCCCTTCCCATGGAGGTAGGCTAGCAAGGAAGAAAGTAGCCCAGAGTGACAGAATGAGTGATATCCTACGGAGCCCCTTCCTTCCTCTTAATTACCTGGTTAACTCAACATCGGCCACAAGTTGGTCCCACTCTTCATCTCTACTCAATACAAGATGAAATTCCTCATTGGTTACTTCATTCACAATAGAGTAGGTGATATTCGCAATAGTTCTCTCTAGATGAAAGAAGAAAGAAAAACATGAGAGCACTGGGGAGCAACTTCCCTGGTACTGAGTCTATGATGCTTCCATGTGCTTCTCACCGAGCACTGTCCCCTGAGATACCATTGATGGAATCACCTGGTGCATGGAATTGGTGAGTATCCCTTTTATTTTTTTTAATTTTTATTAGTGAAACACCATGAGGTACAGTTATAGACTTACAATTTTTTTTGTGCTTGGGATTCAGTTATACAATGATCGAGTACCCATCCCTCCACCACTGCCCATTCTCCACCTCCAGTGCTCTCAGTATCCCTTCCACCCTCCCCCATTCCCCCAGAGTATCCCCTTTTACCTGTTAGGATTGGCCTTCCATTTTTTAAACCTTCCTTCCTTCCTTCCTTCCTTCCTTCCTTCCTTCCTTCTTTCTTTCTTTCTTTTTTTCTTTCTTTCTTTCTTTCTTTCTTTCCTTTTCTTTTTAATGAATCACCATGGGGTAGAGTTACAGACTTAGAAACTTTCATGCTTCCATTTCAGCCATACAATGATTGAGTACCCATCCCTCCACCAGTACCCATTCTCTGCCACCAATATTCTCAGTATCCCTCCCACCTCCCCCTCCCGATTTCCTCCCCACCCCACCTCTGTGGCAGGCACATTCTCTTTAACTCTCTCTCTCCTTTTGGGTGTTATGGTTTGCAATACAGGTATTAAGTGGCCATCATGTTCGGTCTATAATATATTTTCAGCACACATCTCCCATCCCAGCATGGTCCTCCATTTTGGATATATTTGAAGAAGAGGTAGTTAGAGTGGTAAGAAATCTTCAATGAGCCAAAAGATTCAGACCTTAGATCTTTAACACTGGAGTCCTTCTAAGAAATGAAAGGCATTCTGAGTATCTCCTCACTCTCTTTCTTCACATAGTACAGGCCATTGGAGGACAGAGTGGGAAGGCCTGCTCACCAAGAAAAGAGGTCTCCCCAGAATCCAACCCTGCCAGCACCTCAATCTTCTATTTCCAGTCCCCAGAATTCATGAGGTCACCTCTGCCTCTCTGTGTGTTTAGGAATGGTCTGTCATGCTCTCCACGGAACCTGCAGGCACTTTGGTGCAGAGGTGGGGCAGCACCCTGGACACAAAAGCCTCCATGGTCACGAGACCCAGACGGCTGTTCTCAGTCAATGGAATGGATATGGTGAATAGGTACAAGTACAAGCATGTGTGTGTGTGTTTGTGTGTCTGTCTGTGTATGGGAGTGTGATAGGGGGTGTATTTGTGTGTGTGAAAATGAGAGAGTGAGAAATAGAGAGAGAAAGATAGGACATGCTGAGACAAAGTGGGTGTGTTTTCCGCTCCATATAGGTAAGCAGGTATTCTCATTTCACAGGATGAGTGATCACGCAGCCATCAAGAAGAAAGTTCAGGACTTAAATCTGAGTCAAATTTTAGGCATCTCTGTGACATTACATTGCAGCCTCCTTGTGTTTCAAAAATCCCCCCAATTCCTACCTTAAACTCTATAGCATACGTGTGGAGAATTAAAGATGTAGTTATATTAAAAACTGATGGTGCCACCAATCCACCATGAATAAAACTACAGTTCCAAGCAAAAGACATCTTTTTGTTCATCCTAGATTCTTTTATATGGGTAGTGGAAGGTGAATACAGGTGCCGCTGCATCCTCAAGTCTGACCCTTGAGATCAACCCTCATCACCTCTACCTGATGTCTCACAAGGACACAGCTCCTCAGTCTCTCTCCTCACCCCATCAGACCCATCGACTCTACAAGAGATCCTCCTGTTTCTGGAGGAGGTTTTGTCCTAGGAATCTTCAGCTCTAGACTCCTGCTGGGACCCAGGGCTGCACTATCTCTTGTTTTAGATCCATCCTTCCTTCCTGCTCTGCATTAGCACAGGGGCAGCACCATCTGCCTCCTGGTAGTTCTTGTAGGATGAGATTTTATTGTACTTCATATAGAGTGAAAGGGGAAAGGACAGTGTGTGTGAGAGAATGCTTCAGGAAATAAAATAGTTTTTGGTGACAGGGTGAATTTATATTTTTAGGGTTTTTCTGCTTCACTGAGGAAAAATAGAATGCCAGGGCTAGGATGAAGGTAACCCAAGACTTTGAGTTTATGCATTTATTCATGTGGAATCTCAGCTAGGGTCCTTGCCATGAATGGTCCCTCCCAGAGACCATCATATGTGGGCTGCAGGAGCTTATAATAGGCTATTCAGGGCAGGTACTCTAACACGACTATGGGGGGATATGGCTTGAAGGGGAATATATTCTACTGAAACAAGAAGGGAAAGGATCAGCAAGTTGGTGCAGCCATGTATTACAACATATGGTAGGAATACACAGTGATTCTTTATTTAACACAGAAAAATTTTTGGTTGTTGTATGAGGGAGCAGGTAACGTGGTCCATGTCACAAAGTTCCAATATTGCAAAGACAACATGGTCTCAAGGTTGTGCCTGAGAACAGATGAATGGTTAAAGAAACTTTGGTGCATCTACACAATGGAGTACTATGTAGTTGTTAGAAAGGATGAAGTCATGAAATTTACATACAAGTGGAACTTCATGGAAGGTAACATGCTATGTGAAATGAGTCAGAAAGAGAGGGACAGACATAGAAAGATTGCATTCATCAGGGGAATGTAAAGTAACAAAATAGAAGACTAACACCCAAGAATAGCCGAGATAAATACCAGGAGGTTTACTCCATGGCTTGGAGGCCAGCCGCACACTCTAGGGGTAAAGGCAGCTCAGATAGAGAAGGGAGCCCAAATAAAGGGTGTTGGAAGGATCCGCCCAGGATGGGAGATGCATGCTGAAAGTAGAGTATAGACCGAACATGAATGCCACTCAATGCCTCTTTTGGAAACCACAGCACCCCAAAGAGGAGAGAGAACACAAGGGAATGCCCTGCCACAGAGGCAGGGTGGGACAGGGGAGAGAGGGGATGGAAGGGGTACTGGGATCAGTGGTGGTGGAGAATGGGCAGTGGTGAAGGGATGGGTACTCAATCATTGTATAACTGAAACCCAAGCACAAAAATTTTTAAGTCTACAACTGTACCTCATAGTGTTTCACTAATAAAAATTAAAAAAGAAAGATGGGATCAAGATTGGCCATGGCTACCTCTATTTCCAACATCTGTGTAGTGGAAAAGAGTTACAAGCAGATGATTACAGGAATTTTGAAAGCATAAGGTGTATTTATGTAAAGTCAATGTAGCTTGGTTAGAATGGTCTTGTGGGGAATGCTCGCGGCATAAGGCATGGAGATATAAAGAGGTCACTTCAGGGTTGCAAATCAATCCCCACTTCACCTTGCCTGACCTCACTCAGTAGAGAAATTCTATTTCTTCTTCTCCCTCTGTTCTCTCCAAGTATTCAGCAGCTGTCGTGGCTTCACTTGTGAGCCATTTAACAGTAGGAGGAGGGGAAGCTCTAAGTGAGCGCCTCAGCCATGGCTCTGAGGAGAAAGTAGGAAGAAGATATCCTCACAGATCCAAATGGGAGAAACCTTCCCACCTCTAGAGTTACATGCGGTTCAAATCTCTCTTAATTTTTGATTCCCCTAGAGGATATCTCAACCTAGAGCTACTCCATCATTGTGGGGTCTCAGGGAGGTCCCAGTCAGAGAACAGGAAACTGAATACCTGGCTTCATGATTCTGCAGGATCTCACACTCAGCAACCTGTACACAGTAGAGAGGCGTGGCTTCACCCTTGGGGGACAGAACAAAGTGTAGGGTTCAATGTGAGTAACTAAGCTATACAGAGCAGTTTGGAATTAGGTCTCTACTTAACTGCAGCAGGATTACAAATGCTAAAACACTGCCTCCTCAAATCCTCTGCCAAATCTCCCAATGAATCCCACGACATAGAGAAGGCTCTCTCTCAGCCATTCTTGCTGAGATGCCCATGGTTCTACTCACTCGGGTAATAACGGACCCCATGTCTCTGCATGGGCTCCATGTGGGTCTACGCAGAGGGCACTGCCTGATGACAGGCAAGTGTCCTGTGAAAAGCTTTTGATGACATGATGACTGTTGATCCAGAGCTGGATATTCCCAGCCTTACTCCTCTTGTTCAGTAACTGTCCCACAAACCTGAGGCCATAGGAGGTCAATTTCTCCGTTCACCTTTGAAGGACCCCAATCAGGCTCTTCCTTTATGACTTTGGTGGGTTTCTATTCACATGCCTTCTACATAATGTAGAGGAAATCAAGGATCGTGAAGCAGGCGATGAAGGAAGAAGAGAAGGATAGCAAAAAGAATAAAAAAAGTACATGAACAAAACGGTTCTAATGAAACAATCAGGCAACTAACACACTGTTCAAGAAGTCACAAAAGAGGGGCTGGAGTGATAGCACGGTGGGTAGGGCATTTGCCTTGCATGCGGCCCACCCGGGTTCAATTCCCAGCATCCCATATGGTCCCCTGAGCACCGCCAGGGGTAATTCCTGAGTGCAGAGCCAGGAGGAACCCACGTGCATCGCCAGGTGTGACCCAAAAAGCAAAAAAAAAAAAGTCACAAGAGAATTTCCATGAGATCCTGGAAGAAAATCCACGAAGAACTGAAGCCATATTCAAGAAAATTTTGAGTTGAGGAACCTTTCGACTATACTCCCAGAAACGTAAAAGAAAAGCGAAATTAATGGAAACTCTTAAAAATTAAAGCTTACAAAGAATGCCCATACAGCAAAGCAATACAAGTAGACATCCTCGGACACAGTTTGAGAGCTACACATGCACACACTCACGCATGCCCAGCTGAGTTCTCTTTCAGGCTCCCAGCCACAATGAGTGTGGGGAAGTCAGCAGTGCGGCTTCTCCTTCTGTCTCAAGCAGCTTCTGGATTGAGGGAATACAGTTCTGAGCCCAATCACCCCAAAAATTCAAGAGAGGAAAGAGCTGGGGCCTTTGGAAGGCCTGGCATCGTCCTACTCCCTTTTTCTCATGGAATCCTGAGAATGTCACTCCCCTCCTAGTGCCTATTGTACCCAGATACTCCCCAATGAGCAGAAGCCCAACTCAAGTAGGTGACAACAAACCTTAGTCCTGTGTTTCAGTGACATATTGTTTTCTGAATCTCAACAGACATCCTTTGCTCTCTCAGTTTAGGGAACAGGGCCTTGGGATCCCAGAGGGTCAAAGCAAAGATGGGAGATTCCCCCACTACCCTTCTTCTCCTCTGCAGCCTCAATTTTCTCAAGGGTGCCCCCCTAATTCACTTGTCTTCTCGAGTCACTGTGTCTCAGGGACACAGGCTCAATAAGGGGTAGCGAGTTGTCCTTGATAACCCATCTGAGCAGTCACCTCACACTTATGCTTAACAAACAAGAGGAGGAGCAGCACTCAGACCAGTGGGTTTAAATCTGGGGTCTTCTACTGGTTCCTGTGTGGCCTTAGGACCTTACCTAACTTCCTGGAGCTTGATTTTCTTTGTCCACAGTCAACAGCGTCCTTTTAGTGAGGTTGTGAGAGGTTCAGTGTGAGGGAAAGGATGTGGGGTCCTCTCTACCCTGCTTGCCCCAGAGTCCTCTTCTGGCAGTTGGGATTAAGATCCAGGCTCTCTGTGCAGCTCGTCTCCTGACTCTGTGGTGGAGTAATGAGTGCACAGGCTCCCAGATAATGAATCTGAAAGTAAAACTCACTACTCTTGAGTCAGTGAAGATAAATCAACCACACCGGGTCCAATATCCAGTTCACAGCATTTCAGTCTTTCCTCCTTCTCACCTGTTAGAAGAGTATTTTCACATTCCACGTTTCAGATTTTTCTGCACAGCCCACCCGTGAGTCACGAAGAAGTGGCAATTTACTACAAAATAGACAATGTGATGGACACTTCAACATTCTAACATCCATTGAGCTGGTGTCCATGTCAGAGAATGAGATAAACACACAAGAAGACAAACATTCAATGACCTGTGGACACTAAGGGAGGGGTCAAAAGAAGAAGATCTGAGTCAACCTGGCTTCCACATTGATTGGATGTCATGGCTTCATGGTGTAGAGATCAAGACGATAGATGCTGAGAGGAGAAGAGAACTGTTTCCTGGGACACAAACCAGTGCTTCCAGGGGGACCCAATATTGACAGCATTTATATGGCCGAGGAAGTAACCTACAACCCA